TGTTAGGGTTCGAGTTATTACCTGCCAGGGTATGTTCTGGCTCTCCACTAAGCCAGTCTACAAGATCAACAGCTAAATGCAGCTCATAAATTATTCTTTAACTAGGCTTTTGGACAGAGTTTCCCATTTTCTGTAGTCTATTAAATAAACAGATAAAGGGGAACAAAGATTCTTTTGGATAAATTTTGCTGTGTCTACTGAAAAAGACCCAAAGTTCCCATATTTTATCCTTCACTCGGAAAAGGATGGGGTAGGACATAGTTACCGGGTATTGTCTTTCAGCAGTTGATTTTAGAGTACAAAAGCACTGAGCTTATATTAAATTTCTCAACTTTCAGAACTGCTGTAAGCACTTACCACTCTCTCTGCTCAAGGGAACAGCGTTAGCCATTTCAAGACCCAAACCAGATTCTTGTGAAGGGAGGTTCCAAAAAAGCCAAAGAAACAGATTAAGTGAGATCATTTCAGTTGTTTATATCAATCCTACTGCAGAGAGGAGAAAATAATTTTGATACAACACTACATTTTGCAGCCTTATCACCCATTGTTCTGTTAGTCTGTGTTGACTCCTGTGGAGCTGCTCCTACTTGGCTTGCAAATTATTCACATAAGCTTCCTAGATTTCCATGTGGTCTTGTTCCAGCCATGCTGGAAAAGAGATAATTTTGTTGAAAGTCTTTTGAAAAAGCATCATGCACTAACCTACAGGCTCCTCTTTTTCAAGATAGCTGTGTGGGTCGTAGAGCAGTGGTACAAATGTTCCAGAATTAGCAGCTACTGTGATTACATACATCTGAGCCTGGATTTTACTCACTCGACTCCACAGATTTCATCCATCACATGAATAACAGTTTCATATTGCATATCTGGGGTTTTAGCTTCAGTTTCCTGTTCATTCCAGACCCAGCCCGTTTTTCTCTGAGTTCACAGTTAGGGGTTTGCACTGCATGTGCAAAATCAGTCAGCATTGTCTCTGCCACTCCTTACCCACTGTGCATACCAAGTGCCCAAATCACAAGTCTTCTTGGAGTCATCCCTAAAATGAGTTAAAAAAGGGTGGGGGGAAAAGGGGAGAAGAATCCTTTTGTTATGGAGAGATATAGTAGTATCTTTGTCTAAGACGAGTCTTCTCTGACAGAAATCAATACAAAGGATGAGAAATCAAGACAGGGTTTTTATTACGAGAGATAGCCTCCAGAATCACAGGGGAGAGCCTCGTACACAGGCTCTGCTCTGATGTGCCTGTGCCCTGGAGCTGTAACAAATTACGCTGTGAATTTCTGGGAGGATTTATACACCACTGCTCAGAGCTCTAGGGAGCATTCCATCAGTGGCATCGCTGGCCTAATAATGGGGGATCTCAGTAATAGCAACTTTTATGTATGCTGTGTGTTATTCCCACAGATTTGGGGATTGGTTTTCGGGGGAAGGAGGCGGCGTGGGGTAAATGTGCTTTCATTATAGGTTTACACTTTACTGATTAGCTTTGAATGATCTTCTTGCTCTGCCTGCTGACTAGAGGACTGTCAAAAAAGGCATTGGCCAAGCTTCATGGTGAGTGAACGAGAATCCTTCTGAGATGGGAGGTTCCTGTGCTTTGTTTAGTCATTTTGAACATTCCTGACAGCCAGCCCAGGCTTTGATGCAGGGGAAAAGCAAAAGAAGTAGGAAGTGATCATGTTATATTCCCCTTTTTTTACAAGCCTGTTTTGTTGAGCTGAGTTTACTGCCAATACTGTCATTCTCAGGACTCCCTAGGCAGCAGGGAGAGGGGAGGGAGGAGGGAGGAGGAAGATGAAT